GTTATGTTGTGAATCAGGAAGCATCTGGAGCGGATCACCAGCATCTGGAGCCCAGAGAACGAGATCGCCTCAGTCAGCTACCTGCTGGATCAGATCGAGCAGATCCGGTCTGAGAGTGAAACCGGACCTCACTCCATCACGGTGGACATCCAGCGGCCCAGCGGCTGCTTCAGCATCAGCTGCTACGACCGTGTGACCAACATCGCCGTCAAACTCCAGCCAAAGACCAGCGCACAGCACTTCATGCTGGCGAACTGCCACTTTGACTCGGTGGCCAACAGCCCCGGTGCGTTTCTACAGCGCTTCATCAACGCTTCAGTGAACCTGCTGTCGCTTACAGCTCAGGAGACACTGAGTTTATATGCTTTAATGAAGTTATGCTTCTTCCTTAATTCATCCTTCAGTGCCTATGAGAATCTCAGTCACGTCTCATTTAAGTTCAATTCAACGTTGTTTTAAGTATCAACATGATGCTACTCGTTTCTTGCAGTGAGTATTATGAAGCTCATTAGTGAGAGTTAATAAAATGTTATTGCTCAGAAGTTGCTCTTTTATAACTTCTAAGACTTAAATGAGATGTAATTGAGAATTGAATTAAGTATTTATCTTTGTCTCAGATGTTTCTCCTTAAGTAGGAAAATGAAAAAAAAAGTTTTAAATGAGTCTCTCTTCATCATTCAGTGATCATTCAGAGTCTAGAGCGGTGAAATGAATGTGGAGAGTTACTGAGTTTATTGAGATATCTGACGTTTTACTGCAGACATGAGCAGGAAATGCTCCATATTTCGTCATTTGTGACCTTTTTCTCAGTTGTGTTTGCTGTGGTTTGAAGTGACAGCGATCAGATCGAGCAGTTTAAGGTTGCATTATGTTTGCTGTCAGTGTTCTTTGTTTTGTTATGTTATTTGCATTATTTATGGGTATAGTGGATTATTACACTCCGTTGTCATCTATCCTGTGATATCCTGATCATTAGAAAACCAGGAAGTGAAACAGCAGTAACATCGATGTGTAAGTGAGTGTGTGCAAAAAGATGCACAGCACGAGTGTTTAATAGGCAGCATGTGATTTTGAGTGTTGTTGTTGTTCTGTCATGTTTGATGTCAAATCCCAGTCAGTTATGATTTGGGATTGGGTTTTAGCACTGCGTTTGATTGACAGGATTAAATTGTATTGTATAAATTGGTTTTATGTATTTGTAGTAGGTTTTATTTTTTCTTTGAGTCATGTTTCTAGATCTGTGTGATTAATAACGTGTGTGTGTGTGTGTGTTTCAGGAGCCAGTGATGACGCCGTCGGCTGTTCAGTGATGCTGGAGGTTTTACATTCTCTAACGAATCTCTCCACGCCTCTCAAACACGGTGTCATCTTCCTGTTCAACGGGGCCGAGGGGACAATCCTGCAGGTGAGAGGTCAAGGCACAGCTGACCTTTGACCTCAACGAGCATGTGATCGTCTCGTTGAAATGTGTTCAGCCGGTTTGATGTGAATCACTATCACTGACATTATTCATGGTCTCACTGTGTGTTTGCCACAATCACTCTCTCACACACACACACACACACACACACACACACACACATTGAAGCGTAACAGGCTTCAATTTTATAATGGCATATTTTATAATGAATACAAATTTTTCAACCTCTAGTAATATATAAAATATCAGGTAGAAATCGCAAGTAACACTATTTTTTAAAAATCCAAATATTTTATCTTTATCCAGTAAATCAGGAATGACTGGAAATTACATGTAAATTCACTGGTTACAAAGAGCAGGAACCTATAGAAACTTGTTTCCACCACAGAATAAAAAAGGTGACATTTATCTCACATTTCTAACAAAAAGGTCAGAATTGTGAGATACAATTTGCAATTGCCTTTTTAAATAGCAAGTGTATACCTCACAATTCTGACTTTTCCCTTGTAATTCCACATTTGTATCTCACAATTCTGAGTAAACTAAATAAATAAATAATAATCTGAATTGTGAGAAAAAGTCAGCAATGTCATGTTTTGATTCTGTGGCAGAAATAAGCGTTCATACTATTTACTCGCTTTAATCTTGGGAAACTCCAGGTTTCTATAAATTAAAAATTAAAAAATAACATTACAGCAGATGAACCAGAGGACAGATATTATCCCACATGGAGTCTTGGAGTCAGAAAGGTTGAGGATGGCTGATCTAAATCAGATGTGTTTGTTTTGTTTTTCTGTGCAACAGATGTTCATCAGATAGTTCATTTGTCTGTTCACATTCACTTCCATGACATGGAAAAGAGCAGTGTGATCATTCTGTCAAATGACTAAACGTGAGGGTGAGTAAGTGAGATAGAATGAGCCCCAGTCGTGTGTGTGTGTGTGTGTGTTTGAGGTCCGGAGAACCTGTGGCTGGTCCAGGCTTACGCCCGAGCCGCAGTACACCCGTTTGCCACAGTGGTTGGTCAGGAGATTTTCCAGAGCAGACTCATTCCTTCAGACACAGACTTCCGCATCTTCAGGGACTTTGGGAATATTCCTGGTATGAGATACACACTGTAAAAAAAAAAAGTAAAAATTAGGGTAAAAAACATGGCAGCTGTGGTTGCCAAAACTTTACCGTACAACAATACAGAATTAACAAATTATACAGATTAAAAGCATATTTACAGTAAAAACATATTTCATTAAGTGATGTATTGCTGATATTGCTAATGAGTAAACCAGGAAGAGAACTCAGGTACTCTTATAAGCTGCAAAAGGAAACACAGTGGGAGAGATACCCTACTCCTGCACCCTCACTCAGCAGTGCAAACTCCCTCAGGT